ATCTTCAACTTCTTGTATTTGTTCATCCTCATCCTCATCCTCATCCTCATCCTCAAGTTGAACTATTTGCTTTCCTTTTTTCTTGCTTAAAGTAAGATTTCTAGGCCCTACAAAGCAACCAATACAAAATATAAAAAAAATAAAATTCAAAGTAATGGAGAAGAAGAAAAAACAACCACTACATTTTAATTACCTCTCTTTCTCTTTTTGCTAGTCCCTTCTTGAACCTCAAAACATTCACCAACATTCATCCAAGTAGTGTCCTCAGGAAGGAGTGCATCTTCTTTTTCAGTGATCCACTCATCATCAGATTCCATATCTGAGAGAGAAATAGGATCATAGGAATCACCCTCTAGTATTCTCTTTTGGTGTCTTGCCTCCAATCGAAGATTGTACTTCACAAACACAAGTGCACTTAATCTTTGTTGCTCTAATCGATTTCTCCTCTTAGAGTGCACCTGGTCAAATGTACTCCAATTCCTCTCACATCCAGTGGCACTACAAGTCAAGCTAAGGACGCGGATAGCAAGTTGTTGCAACTCTGGACAACATCCTCCAAATGATTCCCACCACAAGGCTATAAAAAATTACAATAGAATACTCTATTAACTAACTTAAGCAGTTGCATTCAAATAACCAACTTAAGTTAAGTTACCACTAACCAGGTTGTTTCTTCTTCCTCATTTGGATTGCCATGTCCATTCCAAACATCAAATCAGCATTATGAAAGATATCTAATTGTTTATCAACTTTTTCTCTCATAATAGGACTTGGGCACATTCTCTGAATAGTCTGATATAGTCCCATCTTTATCTCATAGTCCGCACTACCGGTGTAATGAAACCTGAAATAATTATTTTGATTTACAATGATCATTGATTAGCATACAATATATAGATATAAAATGATATAAAAATTGAGAAAATTAAGTCTTACGCGGGATTGAGATAATAGGCAGCTGCATGAAGAGGTCTGTGTAATTGCATGTTCCATCTAGTGTCAACAATAGTCCATATGGGCTCATAGTGCTTCTTCACATTACGAAAATTCTTTTGGATTTGTTCCTTTGCCTTGTCCATTGCCTCATAAATATACCCCATGGCAGGCTTTAGATCCCCATCTACAAGCCTCAACACCTTCACCAATGGCAACACACACTTCAAGCAATACTTGATTGATCCCCAAAAATTTTGGTCAGCTAGTATAATATCCATCACTTTTACACCATCTCCCTTCTTACAATATTGACTTCTCTGCCATTCCTCAGAAGCAAACATTGCTCTAAGCCCAATTTTATTTTCAAATAAACTCCTCAAAGTTAAATATGAGGTGGCAAATCTGGTGACACAAGCTCTCACCAAATCCCTTTTCTTTGTATACTTTCTCATAAGATTTAACACCCAAGAATGTCTATAAATGTAAACTGTGATTTTCCTTGCCTTTGACATTATATCCTTGTGCAGAGGAAGGTCCCCAATATCCGTCAAAATGAGATCTAGACAATGTGCACCGCAAGGAGACCAAAACAACTTTTTCCTCTTTTCCATTAACAACTCCCCAGCTTTTACATAAGCCGATGCACTATCAGTTACAACCTGAACAACATTATCCTCACCAATCTCTTCTACCATTGAATCTAAAAGCTCAAAAAGATTATCCGCATTCTTACAAATACCTGAAGTATCAATACTTTTAAGAAACACACTTCCTCTAGGACTATTCACTAAAAAATTAGTGATAGAGCGATGTTTCCCATCAGTCCATCCATCAGACATAAGAGTACAACCCGTCCTTCTCCACTCTGCTTTATAATTTTCCATCAACCCACCATTAATCAAATTTGTTTCTTTTTTCAAAAAAGAACATCTCACCTCATGATACGATGGAGGTTTCAATCCCTTACCAAACGATGCAACAGATTCTAACATTCTTACAAAATATGGATCCTTTACCAAATTAAAAGGAAGGGCATTAGCATAAAAACATCTACAAATATCCAAGCATACATCTTCCCTACCCTTTTTCTTCAACATAGTATTCAAAGTAATTGTGGTGGTTGGCTGTATTTTATCAGCAGTAGTACTACCCACACTGCCACTACTTTTCGAATCCACAAGACTCATATCTTTGCTAATTGCCCTATCATCCAATAATTGCTTAAAAAATTCAGTTACTTCCTCAGGGCAATGCTTACACGCTGCTACATCTTTGCGATTACTTGCCAAATGATTTTTCATTCTTGAAATGCCTCCCCAATAGACATTTGCACAATGAATGCATTTCAATTTCAACCTTGATCCTTCTACTTTGTCACAATGTTCCCATGTGGGATCATTAGCAAGTTTTTTAGTCATTTCTATATGAAAATTGGATGCAGGTGATGCCACTGTTGCACAAAATTAAAATTAATCAAGATTCAGAAATTTTTATACAAAAAAATTTATATACATTTGGCTTTGTAAATAAATTAATATCATTACATACTGCACAGGACCAACGATCAATGGAGACTGGGAAGAAGAAGAAAAAGGAGTACCTGGAGAAGGAAGAAGGCAGCGATCAACACCCACAGTCGGAGACAAGCAATCACCCACAGCGAGCAATCACCCACAGCAATCACCCACAGCGAGCAATCACCCACAGCAATCACCCACAAGCAATCACCCACAGACCGGCAATCACCCACAGACCGGCAATCACCCACCGACAGTTGGAGACCACCCACAATCGATCACCACCCAGACTCGAAGACCACCCACAGTCGAAGACCACCCACCCAGTCGGAGACCAGTCGAACACAGTCGAAGACCACCCACAGTCGAAGACCACCCACCCAGTCGGAGACCAGTCGAAGACCACCCACAGTCGAAGACCACCCACCCAGTCGGAGACCAGTCGAACACAGTCGAAGACCAGTCGGAGACCAGTCGAAGACCACCCACAGCGATCACCACCTACAAGTCGAAGACTTCCCACAGTCGATCATCACCCACCCACACACGTCGGTCGACGGCTGAAGAGAAACGACAGTCATCGGTCGATGGCTGAGAGAAACCAGACGTCGATGGCTGAAATGTGTGATATATGTGAGAAATGTGTGATTTTTTTTTTTGTAACCCTAACCACTGAAACGACGTCGTTTCAGTGGTTATAGGGAATTGAAAAAAAAAAATAAAAACACACCACAAACGACGTCGTTTAAAAAAAAAAAAAAAAAAAAAAAAAAAAAAAATTTTGCACGTATCGTGCGTTTCGTACCGATACGTATCGTATCGTAAAAACGTATCGTGTATCGGACGATACAACGCAAAAACGATACATAACACCGATACGTATCGTTTTAGGGCTGTATCGTAACGTATCGTACGATACGTATCGTGTATCGTACGATACTAACAACTTTGGTCCCAGTGAGTTGGCTATGGGATAACAATCACTTACTCCTCAGGAAGTGGTGAAGTAGAGGACCGGAGGAAAATGTCATGCCGCATATCGGTTTGACCGTTCCAAGCAGGAGCTGCTTGACGAGGTGAAGGATAGCTTGGCCAAAGCTGTCCGATGAATGAAGAAGTATGTTGATCAAGACCACAGACTACCGTAATTTCAAGTTGGTGATCTTGTCTTGCTTAAATTGACTCCTGCAATATGGAAGAGGATCAACAACAAGGTAGTACACCGTGGGCATGTTCCCAAATACGATGGCCCCTTCGAAGTGATGAAGAAGGTCGGGAATGTTGCCTATCACTTGAAGCTGTCTGATTGATTGAAAATTCACTTAATTTTTTATGTGAGTTTTCTGAAGCCTTTTCAGGAAGATTTGCTGAATGCTGGAATGAAGTAAGCTAGGAGGGCTCTGCCTATAATCAGGAAACAGTTTGACAGAGAAGTCGATAAGATTCTATCTAATCGGACCATGGGTCAAAGTAAGAAGAATCGCATGTCTAATTTTCTGGTACATTGGAAAGGTGGTTTCGAGGCAGACGTGAGTTGGGAAAGGGATGTGACTCTTTGGCAGTTCGAGAAATAGATCAAAGAGTATTAGGGCAACCTCTCGACGAGGACGTCGTCATGCTCTTCTGGTGGGGGTGGTTTGTTATCCCCTTAGCTTGTTGGCAGCATTGCATGGCGCAACCTCACCCAAAAGTCCCCATGCCTTAGCCAAATTGGCAGAAGTCCTATGCATGACTGAGAGAGACAGTCTATGCACATAGGCACGTGGGCACAAGTCAGCATGCAAGCATGGTAGTCAGGTGGCTTGAATTGTGGGGTAATGCTAGTTTGAAGGACTAAGCCATGGGCTGGGCCATGGATAGGCACGAATGCAATACAATTAGATGTTAAAGGCTCATGAGAAAGGCACATGCACAACATGTGAGGACGTTGGGCATGTGCCCTACAGATGGTGGTAGTTCAATGCAGTTGCTGGCAGGTGCACAACATGTGGCAGTCTCTGTCATGTGCACACAACATGCAGAGAAGTTGCAGGCAATTGCTGGCTAGGTCAGCAACCAGTTGCAATTGCCTCTGCCATGATCGACAATGGAGGGAGTGGCTGAAGGTGGTCAGCCATTCTCAGCAGACTTTGTGGGCGGATTTGAATTATGTGCAGTTGCCTAGGCGGTTGGACTTGTAATCGCCACCCAGAATGTTAGAAATAGGCATGTCTGGGTCTGCAGTGCAACCAAGAGAGTTAGACACGTTTTGTAAGCAGACCCAAGATTGAGTTTCTTTATACTTTGCTGAAAAAGAAAGGTTTGGCCTTTGGCCTATAAAGCTTGTGTGTTGTGTGAGTTGCTTGCTGTCCCTATTATGTTCCTTTGTGCATTTTTGTGAGTGTTTGACTGAGACTGAGTGTTGGATCTCAGTGCCATCACAACGCATAAATTTGGTGAGAAATTTGACCCCGTGACAACGGGGCTCTAGTAGTTCGCACACCTTATCCATCTGAGTTTAATGAATGGTAAAGTACACTTCTTTAGTAATGAGTTATGACCAACCATATGCTTAGATACGCCTTCATTCTCCCACTTGGCCTGGAAATAGAGAACCCAATCCTTCTGATTTATTCCTTTCTGCAAACAGCGAGGATCCTGGCCTTCTCCCATAAAAACCCAACCTTCCTTTTGCTCTTCCTTCAGTTTGCCTTTACTGAGGCTCAGCCTAGGAACTCCACAAAGGTTGACTTATTGTGGTAAATATATCACGAGCACAAACTTAAAAGAAGTAGATGAAGAAACTGGTGTATATTAGATTTGTCATGATTGTTGTATATCAATTTACTATGTCTTTAGGAAGAAAGAAGATCTGTCAATAGCCTGTAATTTGCCTAGTTTACACTTTACAATTTACATCTATGTTTTAAGTGACCCAATGTGGTTGGGAAGAAGTTTTCAATTATATATTGTGTTTTTTTGTTTCTATATTATGATATTCTGTATTGAAGGGGTTGCAGGTGATATATCAAAGTATCAGTCAATACTGATATGTCTCGGGCCCTCAGTAAATACCTATACGACTCATCCAAGTTGTATCCGACGCGTCACCTTCCATTTCAATACCATTCCATGTTCCGTTTAAAGCACGAGTCTTACGTGATTCTTTTTATCATTTATACAGGTCGTATAATGCTTGTCATGGAAGATCTATTGTGCTTCAGTTAATTCCAGCTGTTGGTATCATTGCTTTTGCTGCATGGGGTCTTGGGCCGCTTATGCGTCTGAGCAGGATTCTTTTTCTTCATGTATGCATTTCCTTTCCACTGGCCTTTCTTACAATAGCTTGTTTTGGCAGTTGTGTAATTCTTTAATTGGCTGGTGCTCTCGTTGAAACATTTTGCAGAAGAGTGATGGTAGTTGGAAAAAGAGTAGCACCCACTATGTTATGACTTCTTATCTCCAACCTTTTCTGCTATGGACTGGAGCAACACTTTTCTGCAGGTTTAGTTGCATGCTATGTCTAAGCTGTTAGGAATTGAAGATCTGTTTCTATGGGACACTTATTGCAATTGGCTCTGCCAGTGCTAACTATAACAACAATTTTTTCAGAGCACTAAATCCTGTAGTTCTACCTTCAGAAGCAAGTCAAGCTGTCAAGCAACGACTTTTGAATTTTGTGCAATCCCTATCTACTGTGCTGACCTTTGCGTATTGTTTATCAAGGTAATGTGGCTGCTGTCGTAATTTTGTCCTTTTCACTTGCAAATCTCATTTTTCTGTCCAATTAGTAAAACTAAAGGTTAAGCAAATGGATGTATAAATAAGCTTATTCTGCAAAGGTAAAGCAAGGTGCTTCACAAACCCCTGTATAACTATACGTTTTTTCTTGTTTTTAATCACTACCTGTGGTTTATTTTTTAGTTTTTCATTTGCGGTTGTTGATGTGCAGCCTGTTGTAGTTCCAATCATTCAGCTAGTTATTGTCTCGTGCATTATGATGTTTAAACATGGTCATATTCTGTTTTGGCAGCTTGATTCAACAAACACAAAAATTCTTTGTGGAGACAAAAGACTCTACTGATGCAAGAAATGTATGTCTTCATTACTTCACAATTTCTAGCAATTACTTCAAAGCTAGCATATTTATTACTTTGTACAGAAGTTTCAATACAATGCCAGTGGTAGAAAATGAAGAATACCAGAGGAACTTTTGCAATGAAAGCCTGAAAGTGTTCATAGAGATTACATAAAGAGGACCACGACTTATCTAGCACTTTCCATAACACCTAAATGGGAAATAAAAGTGCTGGTGCATTGCTTTAGTTAATTTTCATTTTCCTTTCACACCCTCTGTGCCCAAAGACTACCTTATGTTTGAGAAATAGGTGCAGCCTCTTGCTCTTTTTTTTTTTTTTTACAAATTTGATTGCTGATACTATGCACACGAGGAAGGATCTTCATCATTTTTATTGTTTGACATCTTATTGATTGCACTTATCTTCTGTAAATACTGGAGGATTACTGCTAGTGGTACTCTCTATTCCCATTGGAAATTATTTTTCATTGTTTGACTGTCCTATGGGAAGCCTTGGAGTCTGGACCGTACTTTTTTTAGTTTTATGTCATAGTCCAGCTAAAGTAATGGCAAGGCTGAGATTGCACAAGCAGATCCTTTTCTTTAATTATGGTTGCATAACCTTCGGCTACGGTGATGGCATTGCTTTTGCAGATGGGCTTTGAATTTTCAGGGAAAGCTGTTTATACTGCAGTATGGGTTGCTGCTGTCTCATTGTTCATGGAGTTGTTGGGTTTCTCCACCCAGAAGTGGCTAACTGCTGGGGGTCTTGGCACAGTATTGCTTACCCTTGCTGGTCGTGAAGTACATCCCATCTTTCTTTTTGCATTCTCCGATGCACTACTGCAGATTATCTTCTGTACAAATCATTCTAGATCACTTTAGCATGTGGCCACGTTACTGATAGATGAACATTTAAAGTCTATCAATCTTCAATCTTTATTAGGAACTAAAAAGCATGGACACGGATACGACGATACAACATTTTTCAAAAAAATAGGACACGGACACATTATAAAAAAATTATATTTTATATATGATATTATATAATTTATTGCAAATATAGTGATAATGATATACAATTCATAAAATATTCAATATTTTATGATAAGAAAACCTAATGTCTAGTCAACTGTGTGAATTTTTAGACTAAAACATCCTCATTATAGTCAATAATTATCAATTTTTTTTTGTACAAAATGTGTACCTAATATATAATTTAAATAATTGCCCTCATTTTCTCAATTCTTCTTTTTTAAAACTTTTATGTATCTTTTGTTTTTTTTATTATATTTGTAGTACAACTTTAATATGTCTAGTATTAATAATTATATGTTCTCAAATTTTTAAGCGTTGTTAATCACATTTCAACAAATGTATATTATTTAGTAGCAGACACATTCTAAAGAAATGTCAGACACGTCACCAAAGAAGTGTCCGACACGTGTCCGAAATTATAAATTTATCATTTAATTATGGATACGGATAAAAAAGTATCGGACACGTGTCTGAGAGTGTCTAAAGAGTATCAGTGTCCGACACGGATACGTCACGTTCTCGAGAGTGTCTGTGCTTCATAGATTAGGACAGGTGTATTTTTTTTAACCTGATTTGTTTTTCTATTGTATTCAGATATTCACAAATTTTCTTTCAAGTGTAATGATCCATGCAACAAGACCTTTTGTTTTGAATGAATGGATTCAGACGAAGATTGAGGGCTATGAAGTTTCTGGTACAGTTGAGGTTTGTATTATGAGACATTTACTATAATCATAGCATCCATATATGCATTTTTACCAAACTAAACCAAGTCTTATGTCTCAATCATTTGGGGACGGCTATATGAGTCCGTTTTCGCTATTCATTTCGATCATGCGCTGTATGCTCATTTAAGTCAAATATTTTAATATTTTTTCTTATTATTTCATTCAATGTTAATTTAGGTTCATCGCTACTTCTAGTACCATCAAGAAAAATTCTATCACTTTTTCGAACCGGTGCCTCTATCGGCCTACGTTGAACATGACCAAGCGATTTTAATTTATTCTCTCTTAACTTATCCTCAATTGGAGCTACTCGTACAATTTTTCTAATACGCTTATTTCGTATGGTATCTAGATATGCATGCTTGTTAGGCCTTAATTTGCAACTACTCTTAGTCATATGAGATTTACCAACTTAGGCCCTTTTGTATACTCAATTGCATCAAAAATTGTACCATAAGGTCAAGCAATCAGCTGATTAATGTTTTCTGTTGTTCAAGCATGTGGGTTGGTGGTCGCCGACAATTATAAGAGGTGATGATCGTGAAGCAGTTCACATTCCAAATCACAAATTCACTGTGAATGTAGTGAGGAATCTTAGTCAGAAGACTCATTGGCGCATCAAGACCCACATTGCCATCAGTCATTTGGATGTCAATAAGATCAATGTAAGGAGTAATCTTGATTTAATTGCTTGTGCACTAAAGTTCGTGCCAGTGTGAACCTTTTCTCATGTATTGTTGGAGCTTCTTTTTACTGTGACCAGCATATTGTAGCTGATATGCGCAAGGTTTTGGCAAAAAATCCTCAAGTTGAGCAGCAAAGGTTACATAGACGAGTATTTCTGGATAACATTGATCCAGAGAATCAAGCTCTTTTGGTAAGGTTTCCATCTAACACTGCTTCTGATCGTATTTTATTGGTGACAAAGTTCTATTATTGGATTCATATGATGAAAAACATGGCAGTGTTTCATTACTTGGTCTGATTTTGTTTTTTCAGAAGGCATTGTGAATCCTCTAGGTTGTATTGTACTCCATGTTCTTATTTGATGATTGATGCCCATTATGCACATCAGGCATACTAGCCTCTTTGCATATAAGAATTTTGCTTCATTATTCAGATCATGCTGTTAATTAGCTAATTCTTGCATTATCATCTGTACGTGCTATTAGATTCTTATGAGAGATACATTTTTCGTTCTCTCACATTCAAACACTACTAGAACTTTAAAAGCATTTCAAGGGTTGGTACTTGTTTGAGGTATCCAGTTGGCGATTGTCTTGCCATAGTTTGGGTTGGATTTGTTCTTGCTTCATGTCAGCCATGTTTATAGAGAATGCTGAATCAGCTGCTGTGCCTTTTTCTTTCTTTCCTTTTTTATTCCCAAATGATGAAAGTTGCTGCATGAAATGCTTACATTTTCTTTGGGCTGTATTGTGCAACAGATCATGGTGTCTTGCTTTGTGAAGACATCACATATTGAAGAGTATCTGTGCGTCAAGGTAAGAGTTGTCTGCTACTATTGGATCACAAGAATTTGTTTTAGATGTGCTATTTGTTGTTACCATTGTTCCTATTAGTATTATTGTTCCTGAATTTTTCCTTTGAATCATTTCCATTGTGAGCCTTTACGACATTCAGGCATAGTTTTTCGTTGTTTATGTTGTCTAAAAAATTACCTGAAGAATGCATGGGAAGAAATCTCAAATAAATTTTCTGCCACTGATCTGGATCTTGAGAAGCTTGCTTAGAGTTATTGAGCACTATTTGTTATACTGTTTTGAGTCTCCATCTTTTTCTGTTTACTCACAACTATCTTTCCTTGGTATAGCTATCTTCTTGTTTGTAGAGGAGTTTTATGACAGTGTTCATTATGTTATACCTACTGTGGTTTTTGCTTGGCTGGCCCAGCCTTACAATCCTTGTAGATCTTTTATTTTCCTTTTCTCTTTATTTGTTATTCCTTTTTAGTTATAAGTAGCACTTTTTTGCTACTAAATTAGGAATAGGAATGCAGATAAGTGGTTCACTTATATTTAATTTAAAAGTTTCTTCAGAAAATGTGAGCTTGGGCTTATGCATTCTTTGGTTTACTTGGATCTGTTTGAAGAAAAACTTGAGGTTCTGCATTTTAAAATATTCTGCTAGAGCAGAGAGTTTCTTCAATTGTTTATTAATGGTCGGTTTCATGTTGAACACTTGAATTTGAAAATGGTTGTGACAGTTATTCTCAACAAACAGTTTAGCGTTGGACTTCTATGTTAGATTCCGAGTTCAATAGCTGTTTGTTTGGACTGTGAATTCACCAGCTAGTTTGATGACAAGGTCATGTTGTACTGGTATTTTATTTTGTCGGTCAAGGGTGTTTCTTTCTTGGTGTTCATTTTGCTGCATTCTATTAAAAATTAGAAACCAAGCTCACATGTGATTTATTCATGTCTAATTCTACAGGAAGCAATATTGTTGGATCTCCTCAGAGTTATCAGTCACCATCGAGGACGGCTTGCCACACCAATCCGTACAGTGCAGAAAATATATGACGAGGCTGACATGGAAAATGTACCATTTGCTGATACCATTTTCACTCGTACCAGAGCAGCTGTGGATCACCCATTACTACTGATCGAGCCTTCTTATAAAGTCAATGGTGAGGATAAAACCAAGGCTTCGGCTCGTTCCATCCGTACTAATGAAGAAAAAGATTCCAAGGTTGAAGCACCTGCAACATCCGACTCCAAGGCAGATGCTAAGGCATCAAGCTCTGATGATGAGAACACAGATGAGAAAGTCACACGGGCATCAAGCTCTGATGTCAATTCAAAGGCTAATGTTTCAACAACTTCTGACACCAAAACCCCAACAAGCAACTCGTTGGGTGGAGCAGCTTTTGAAAAGCCCCCTCTTACTTCCCAAGAGTCTGGCAGTGATAGGACCCCACAGGCAAAGGCAGATGGCGAAAGGCTTAATTCACCATCACCATTAGCTAGACCTGTGGTAGAGGATAACATTGTTCTTGGTGTAGCGTTAGAGGGATCAAAACGCACACTCCCAATCGAGGAAGAAATGACTCCATCTCCATCTCCATCTCTGACTTTTGCAGAATCAAAGGAGTTGGCTGCCTGCCGGAATGGGAATGGGTCTCCTGGAAAAGATAAGAAAGACGATCAGATTTCAGCAGTTCCCGGGGTTACACAGAACGATCAGCGAGACAAAGTAAGATGATTGATGTTGGTGACATAATTATTTGGTCCTGCTTGTTTTCTTTCGCAGAAATGCTTGAAGCTATGTTTTTTAAGGCTGGCATTGTGCAGTGTATATGTTTCTGGAAAGATTGTATATAATTGAACTAATTTGTCGACCATTGAAGCATCGAGCATTAATGAAATAGTGTATGGATGTTTCAATTGTTGTAAAAGTCGAAGTAGTTTTCATTACTTTTCTCAACGCCATAGATACAAGTGTGGATGGATAGTTTCTACAATTTTTGTAGTTGGAGTGCTCAAGTGGGAGGTAAAATGTACGTGATCTCTCCTTTATTTGGCCTTTTTGTATGTATAATCTCTTGCACCACATGTATTGGTAGGCAATGATGTCAAAATATGACACAATCTGTTAACTCGAATGAAATTAGAAGATTTGAATTTTCATTAGTTAATGAGTGAATTCAACACAACATGATTACTAAACAAATTTGGTATAAGTGAAGTCAATAAAAAAATATAAAATATGACTTGTTTATATATCAATTATACATAATTTATATATTACACGAATTTAATATAATACAATTTGTTATATACGAATCACGTATAAATGAAATATTTTTTAATATGAATTCACTAAGACTCGACACAAAATTTCAGTCAACATGATTGATAGACCAATCGGTAGGTAACTGAAAAGACTCAAACTCAAGATTTTCGAGAAAATGGGTATTTCATGTGTGGAAAACCATGCCTTTGGATGAACTTGAAACTTTCCGAACCTAAACATACTTGCATAGCTAAGGATCGGGTCCTTTGGTCAGCAAATTGAAACAATATTAGTACCCGCCCTCCATATTCCGATTGACATTTATGTAGATATTGTGCTATTTTAGCCGAAGAATTTGCTTCTTATATATATACTTGTTATTGTCCATACCTGAAGACATAGAGTAATAAAAAAAAATAGTCAAAAATAAATATATTTATATTTACACCTAATATTAAATAGGGTTAATTACAAATTACACTCTGAAAGATCGTTCGAATCTTAATTTGCACCCTCAAAGATAAAAATTTGCATCAATGTGCACCTCTAAAGATAAAAAATCTTAATTTGTACCCTCAAAAATAGAAATTTGTATCAATGTGCACCTAAAACTAAATTGATAAATTATACCTAGATCCTCTTATGCTTGTCACTTAATCATTTAGACCCTTTCACATTTAGAATATTACTCTTACATCTCATAACATTTGTGCACGTATAACACGTAACTCATTTTCGTTGATATCTGTTAATATAACCGTTAAAATATATAATTTTATTATAATAAAAAATTATAATTTCATATTACCCTTTATTTTATGGATCCAATATACTCTAAAGTTCAAAATCAAGCTTACCATTTCAATGTCTAATAGAATAAAGGGTTGCACATTGAGTGATATATTGCATTGGATATAAAAAATATTATATAAATATCTACATTCTATCGGACATTTAAATGATAAACTTGATTTTGAACTTTAGAATATATCGGACCTACAAAATAAAGGATCATATGAAATTATAATTTTTTATTATGATAAAATTATATTTTTTAACGGTTATATTAACCGATATCAATGAAAAAAGGTTATGTATTACACGTGCACAAACGTCATGAGATGTAGGAGTAATATTCTAAATGTGAAAGAGTCCAAATGATTATGTGACAAGCATGAGAAAATCTAGGTATAATTTATCAAATTTACTTTTAGGTGCACCTTGATACAAGTTTTTATCTTTGAGAGTGCAAATTGAGATTTTTTATCTTTGGGGGTGCACATTGATACAAATTTCTATCTTTGAAGGTGCAAATTAAAATTTTTGATAATTGAAGGTCTAAATTGAGATTCGAACTATCTTTCAGGGTGCAACTTGTAATTAACCCTATTAAATATCAAGTATAGAGGAGAGAGAAAAGAATTTAAGCACTAATTATAATGGGAGTGAGTGGTGGGCAACAATAGTTGTGGTGGAAAACGGGGATGGTTGTGGTGGGTGGTGACGACCGTGGTGATGGTGGTGGTAGTTTTTGGGTGACGACGGTTAATATGGATGGTGGTGGGCGACGGTGATGATGATTGGCAATGATGGTGGTGGGACGACTACAATGATGGTGGCGGTGGTGGACTACGATAGGTGTTTCTAGGCACCAAAGTTATGGGTGGTAGTGAATGACGGTGGTGGTAGGTGTAGTGGGAGTGGTTACAGTGGGTGACGATAGTGGTGGGGCGATGACGGGTGATGGTGGTAGGTGTGGTGGCGGTGGGTGACAATGGCTGACGGCGATGATGGGCCACAATAGGTAATGGTGGGTTGTGGTGGATGATAGTAGACAACAATGGTAGTGGTGAGTGCTGACGGTGTGCGAAAATAATAGTAAAATGATGGTGACGATAATAACTATAAAAATGAGATGATGATGGTGGTTAATTGTGGTGGTGGATGAGAATGGTAACAATCGGTGGTAGGTGATGATTGTGGTGGTGGCAATGGGTAGTGGTGGTGGGGTGACGGTGGCGGTGGTGGTGAGACATTGGTGGTGGTGGTAGGGGTGATGGTGAGATATTGGTGGTGGTGGTGGTGGTGATAGGGTGATAGTAGTGGTGGTGATGGTGGAGTGATGATGGTGGTGGTAGGGTGATAGTAGTGGTGGAGTGATAATGGTGGTGGTGGCGGCGGCGATGGTAATGATCAGACGATGGTAGTGGTTATTGTGACAGAGGTGGTTGTTCTGGTAGATGTGGTGGTGGAATGGTGGTAATGGTGGCGGAATGGTGGTGGGCGTAGTTGTGGTGGTAGAGTGGCAGTGATGGTGATAGTGGTAATGGTGGTGGGGCGGTGGGGGTGGCAGGGCAGCTTCAAACACTAATTTTTTTTTTTTATAATACTTTTGAAAAGTTATAAGTTTTAGAAACACTTTTAAAAAGTCATCTCAAACACACCCTTATTGACTTATTTTTTCTATTAAATTTGGAGTGTTAATATTAGCCGTGATATTAACTTTAAAGTAAAATTTAAGGAGATCTTAACTGCGAAAACAAAAATTATTTTGTTTATCTTTTAAAATTTGAATTGTATTGTACTTTATTATATAGATATGTATACCTATAATCTATAATATAAAATAGGACAAACTTTAATAAATTCATTCGACGATCTCAAATAGACTCATTTAATGACCACTAACATTTCTCTCAAAATCATTCACATTAAATTTCTCCCATAAATCCATCACTTTTCATTTATGTTACACCGTGTCTTCAGACACAAGTTATCTCTAATTATTGTACATGCATGACCAAAGCCGATTAAAGTTAAAAAAAAAAAAGCTAAAAAATATATTAAAAAAAACCAAAAACAAAACTTCTATAAAAACGTTACTAAACATTGTCTTTTTTTTAGGTATAACGAGAGAAGGGGTAAGGCTAGAATGTATAACCACCTACGAACAAAAGGGAGAATAACAAAGCAAGATCATAGTGCTATCTTGTGCAAAGATCAAACAAGAAACCAGAGAGAGAATAACTTCTCTTAAGTTCAAGACATCATCACAAAAGTTCCAACTGGTACAAGCATGGTCCCTGCCATCACCTTGTTTGGAAGTTTAATGGTGTGTTTGGTTGAGTGGATGAACAATAGAAGGATAGAAAGTGAGAGTAATACACATTCTATTATTTAAGGAAAGAATTATTCATTTTTTTTTTGTGTTTGGTAGGAGAGATAAAAAATAAAAAATATTGATTTTTTTTATGTTATAAGATAAAAAAATAGAAAGATGAAAAGTATGGAAGTGTATTTTATCATTATATCTATATATAAATTTCCTATATACATAATATGTAATAAAAAAATATGATATAAGCATATATTAAAAGATATATTTATATTAATTGCAGTTGTAAGTGATATGATCCATTGATCCAACCAATGGCAGAATTAGAAATATTATCTAGTACAAAGTAAAATAGATAAAAATAATATGATATATTTATATTTTTTACTTCGTACTTGATACTTAAAAATGGTTTGTTTGAAAAAATTTAATAAGATAATATCTATACATCAAGAATCAATTATATAATATATTTGACACAAATAAAAACAATATTATATAATGTTTAATCTTCTTGAAAATTCCATATTTTACTTATTTTTGACTTATATTTCATAATTTTTGAACCAAAGGAGATTATGACAAATTATATCGATACACTAACAACACATAAACATCACACATACGGATTAGTTTAGTTTGTTTATTTTAAGAGATTTGGTAAGAATTATTTATTCATTTATTTATTGTTCCGGTATCCAACTTATTTGACCCAATTAGTTTTATTTTTTCTAAATCATTAGGGTGGACACAATTTAAAATATCCAAAAAAATATATACAAAACATATGTTAAGTAAAAAAAAATAATTTTTTTCGGGGTTGGCTCAAGCCCTTTCCTCCCTTCGCCACTGGATCCAACGATTGCAAGTTTTAGTGCACAATTTTTTTATCGACATAGCATTACTCTTTATCTATCCCTCTAATTTTTTATTATTCTAAATTTTCATTTTTTATTTTTCATCATACCAATCAAAACATAAAAAAGAAAAAAACTAACTGTTTTTGGATTTGTTGCATCTCTCGTGGAGTTTTTCTTTGCTTGGTTTGTTTTGTATGACTTTAACTTAATATGCAACTATTTTGTATGAAACTTGTGCTCTTGCTGGGCTCCTTTGAGGTCTCCCTTTGTTTATCATCTGGTCCCTTGCTCCAGTCAGGATTTTTGGGGAAGTATTGTCTCAATGTTCATTCTTCCCTCAGACTACTGAGTGCTAAGTGAGTTGTAGTTCGTTTTGATACAACTGACGATCTTTATTGTACTTGTCAGAGTAATATTATCGAGACTTAATTTACTAACTTGTCCCATCAAATATTGAAACTTCACTTCTTTTTTTTTGATCTCGAATATCAAACTCTCGCCACCATGAACGGAAATAGCTCAATAATCTTATAAAATGAAAATAAAAACTAGACGGGTCAGAATGTAATTTTCAGAAAATCAGGGTAGGACTATACCCCGGAGGACAACAAACCCAAAATCCCTATGAGTCTATGACAACCCAAAATATATGACCAAAATTTATAAATTTTTTCGATCAAGCTATAACAAAATATAATTGTTAGAATCCGTTATAACATTTGGATCGATCTTAAAATGATAATTTTTTATTGTGAATTAACTTCAAACAAATTTAATGGACAATGACTCCAAAAGACTATGCTTTGTGAGGTATTTAAATCCTTAACCTATCTCTCATGGAGATTTATTAGGTGCCTGAAGTACCACTAAACTAATCTGTGGGTTAGGTTGATGAGTCTGAAATTGACTAAGCCAAAAAGTCTAATCAAAGTTGGGTTCATCCATCAAAAAGAATCCAAATCACTAGAGCCCAAAGGGAGTTGAATAGTAAAAATAAGTGTTAAATAGTGATAATGGTGTTATGGGTGTTAAATAGTGAAAATGAGTGTTGAATATTGAGAAAGAGAGTTAGACTTGTCCACAAATCAAGAAAGAATCAATTGAAACCCCTGCCAAAGGAAGCACTCAAGAAGGCGCCACCCAAAGCATTAGAGGGCGTCGCCCAACTCATCCCCAAGCCAGGCGCTGCCCAGTGATGGCCCTCCTAGTTCCTTCTTTGCTCCCTTCTCTTGGCTACTCCAACTCAAGTCCAGCCTACTCCAATGCTAGCCCAAACTCGGGACGAAGCTCAATCCAACTTAGCTTCATCCTCCGACGAAATAGGAACACGAGGGATAGATTATCGGAATGCACATAGAAATTTAATCATACCATAGCTGTACTTACCAAAATAGTAAAAATTCTCTCCCTCACGTCACCGTCTCACTGCTTCACCATATCTATATAATGTAAGCTCTCTACGCATAGAAGACATGACCTTACAACCTGGACATCTCTATGATCTTGACAGACCTTTGAGATTCCTACACACATTACTTTTCTCTCCTCACCATTGTAACTCTCCTGGAATAAACTCTCCTTGTGACATTATTCATTAATAAAGATTTTCGCCTACTATTGCCATTTTCGAGAGTAGAATAGATCACCCAGACTAAACCATTATAAATCTGTGTTGTTCCTTTATTTATTGTTTTACCATTAATTGTCCGTTTATTGCTCATTGATTACCTTTGCTCATATTCTTGATTGTTGATTTTGCACGAGACCGATTTGTGCATCATCGTAGGTAACCAAACCTTCTTCCATACTCGAATCTTACCCATATTCAATAAATCAAAGGTTTCACTGTCTGATCTTGGCAATAAAACCACACTGCTTGAAGGCATTTTCTGTTTCTCTCTCCTCCATATTCCACCTACTTAAACAACTTGAAAAGAAAACAAAAACAATCTTACACAAAGACATGCATTTGTTAGGAAAATAAATTACCAGATTCATTTCAGGCAACAGTTTTGATGGGTATTTAGTTCTTATTGGAGATATTAGCATAATTATATATAATTTTAACAAACAAATTAATATTAAGATCACAAATGAATAATAATATATAAACAAATATCAAGTAACAATCAATTTAAATTTAAATAAATACAATAAATTAAAAAGAACTGACATGCGTGTCGGAGAGTCATGTGAACATCAATCTAACATAACTGAACCACCCCGCATGATACTTAAATTTAAATATATACAATAAATTAAAAAGAACTGACATGTGTGTCTGAGAGTCATGTGAACATCAATCTAACATAACTGAACCTCTCCGCATGAAAGTACTAACGAACATTAACGATTCCAAGGTTAAACCCAAACACCCGTAACTTTGTCAATAACGATTCCAAGGTTAAACCCAAACACCCGTAACTTTGTCAATGGTCACATCCATTGAAAGAAAATGATGAGCCTAACTCGAATTAAAGTTACCCCGCAAAACATACTAGAAAATACTAAGATGATATGATAAAATAAAGAAAAAGAAAGTAGTCTGACAAATCCAAATTTTACCGAGTCAGACTCAATTAATTAAGCCCAAATCAACTACAAGAAAGGTCAAGCCCAGTTCATAAATTTAGTCTAGTCCAAAGTTCAAGGAATTTAAAATGATTAACTCACGTAGAGAGCAATCATCAGAATAATCACTCTCCTAAATGAAGACTAACTTTAATTGTACCTATCCTAGTTGTAACTATCCTCCTCGAAAGGTGAGTCACCTATCCCTTCATGCCACCGTCTCAACTAAGACTACGTACTAATAAATTGTAAATCCTCTTTACATGAGATGAACATCTCTCTACATACCTTACACAATCTTTCTTATAACTAACAACAACGAACATTTGCTCTCTCTCACCTACTATACTTCATCAATAAAGACCACTGACTACCGTTGTCAACTTCAAAAAAGAGAAAATCTTCGTGACCAAACCACTACACATACGTGTTACTTGTGTTGATCCAATATTTATCTTCTTTATTAATTGCTTCATTAATTAGCATAAATCATATGCTCAACTATTAATTGTACATAATCCTACTTTGTACGTCATGATAGTCAAAAAAATCTCATAAAATATACACATGTAGCAGCCCAATCAATAACCTATTGAAAGAGAAATGGTCATAACTGAAAATCTGCATTGAAATTTTTAAATAGAATAATAACAGAAAAGTTTTAAAACTTTCAATTTTTCCCAACAGTTCACACATTGACAAGTTTTGAAGCCTGATTGCCTAAGAAACATAATTAGCTAATAAGTTTAAAGCTTAAACACCCCAATTAAGTAACTTAAACCACATTTCATAGGCTAATAGATGTAATTAGCAAAAGGTTTGAAGCTTAAACATACCTTCGCTTCAACCACATTCCCAATAAGCGTGTAATTAGGAAAGTTTGAAACTTAAAACATAACCAGTTGGCTGCAAACCCTATTCGCTTAAAACAACAATCCATTGGCATATAGTAATACCTTAGAAATTTTCTTGACACAACGCCTCCAATCTCTTCAATTGTCTCCACCATCTCCTTCCAATTCAGCTTAGTAGAAGGATAGCCTGAGAAAAGAAAATATTAAAAGGGTAAAAATGGTAAAAAATTCTATTAATCAAAAGGGCAGTATTACAAAAAAGAAAAGTGCTTTTACAGAAGAGCAATGCTACAAGGACCTTATTTGAAAATCTAATGATGTGGCTTCAATGCAATCATTAGATTAATTGTGAGTTCTAATGTTAGATGAATCCTACAACCAATCTAATGGTTGTACATCATTAAATTTCTAAATTAGATCTTCGGTCCAAATAACATTTTTCTTTATAGAAACACAATAAGCACGACCTATTGTAAGAAAAAGAAACCATAAACAAGTAAAAAGTCCAATAAGCAGTTAACACATGAGCACTTTAACATCTAAGTTTGTGCCGTGGGATCCTTGGGCTAGAAATTTGCTGCCATCCTGATGAGAAAGAGAACTCGTCATTGAACACTCTTTTTCCCATTCAACTATCAGCATTTTGTGTTTGTATTTTCACAAATTATTTGTAGATGAAGAAATGTCAAACGGATTTTTTTTTTACTTCCCAAACAAATCATCCTATATATGCAAGAAAAACACTTTGAATTGTTGATTAATCGTCAAAGTACCAATAATTCATTATCTAATGAATCCTTTTGTCCTAATACTCTCTAATCGTGAGTTATGGGTATCTATCAAGTTTGTTCCTATCTAACGGAACACTATTAACATCAAATGACAAAGGCATTGTTGATAAAAAAAATGGTTTTTTTCGAAATGAAATGAAAATTAGATTCATATAATTGGAGAAAGATCTATCTGTCTTAATTAGCCGTAAAAATATGTGGTAATGAAAGAGAGATTAAATGGAATAGAATTGACCTGAGTGGTAAAGTCATGGAAATCCCTAGAAATATATTAGAAAACCGAAACTAATTAGACCAGAAGGATTCAATCATTTGAGAATGCTTTGTTCACAATGAATGCAAGGAGTTGCATGTTTTTTTGAAACAGCAGTGCATTAGTATAAATGTTAGCAAACTTTATCATAGCCCAATCAAGAAAACGGCTATGAATGATTACTAGGAAACTAAATTGGAGAAATTAATAAATGCTGAATGTCCTTAAAAAACTAGAAATCGCCTACAATTACATGTAGACTAGGTAGGCAACAGGTTTCTTAGAGTGAGAAGATCAAAGTACGTCAAATGCTTAACAATTCACGAAGTAATCTAAGGCACAAACACCCCTCCACATAGTTGGAATGGAGCAAGTGCATCTCGTTTACTTTGGATTGGGTCTGTTAAACAACCATCTATTCTAAAAGTATAAATGATTGGAGAAGATGTAATTTAAATATTTGTATGTCACCACGACTTCTATTGTAATTTCAAAATTTTGGGTTGAACACTTTAAAAATCCTTTAATAATTAAGATGATACAAGATTCAAACACAAAACTTTATATACTTTAATACAAATATTAAATAACCATCTACTTCAAAAGCTAAAACTATTAAAGACAATGTAATTTAAGTATCTGTATTTAGATAATTTAAGCTAAAACTATCTAAGTTTTCAATTGTTATTCAAGGAAACATTATGGATATTCACAGTTTATTAGAGAAAACTTGAATTTAATTTTTCATAAAATCCTTCCAATAGGTATTTTTATTTTCAAAGCTTAGTATAAAAATTTTGTTTTCAATAATTGTTTTATAATTATGAGTTTAATTCCATTTTTTAAATGTATTGGGTTTGGGATGCAGATATAAATTTTCCTAGTGTAATAACATCATACATTTATTAATATCTATGGTAAGAGTGTTTTGGGGTCTATGGCAATTTTTGAACTAGAAAAATGCTATTTAGAGATAAAAATATGATATAATTTGCTGACCTAACGACATGCCTTCATTGAAACCATTAGATTAACACCAAATTCCAATAGTTGATGGAGCTCATAGTCAATCCAAAGTCATAATGAATTAGCTCAACAAATTAGGTCTCAATAACATTTCTCTTTAAACTAATATCTATGTTAAGAGTGTTTTAGGGTCTATAGCAATTTTTGAACATGTTAGGGGTTCATGGATCCCTTTGGCCACTACCTAGTTCTATCACTACTAATATGCATCTATAATATAAAATTGAGCAAATTTCAATAATTTCATCTAACAGTTTCAAATAGGCTCATCCAATGGTCATTAATATTCCTTTCAAAACAATTCATATTGAATTTTCCTCCGCCCAAAAAATCCATCACTTTTTGCTTATCGTGCCTTCAAACATGGATTAACTTGGTATGTATATAAAGCCTACCAACTTACCATATATAGCATGTAGAGATCAGAATGTGTGTTATGCAGCAAATTCTAAATTGATCAGAATGAGCATGCACATGTAGCGTGATTATCGCTAGCTCGCACACGTTTTAGTTTTATTACAGATAATATACGAGAAATTGTTTTTTTCATAAAGCTTACCCTAGTTTCAAAGATGTATCGGAGCCATCGTCCTCAGGAGGCGGACCACTATTGCAGCTGCATAAATTGGTAGTGATGGAGTCCGAAGATTGGCCATCTTCAATTATCATATTATCCATCTCAGCAACAATCACCTTCTTATTTCCTTCAGAGATGATCTTCATCTGTAGACATTTGGAAACATAATACTAGTCCCTCTCTCAGTAATGTTTCAAGGGTTTTTCGGATTAATAAGTTATTTAACTTTCGAAAAAGAGAATGATGTGTGTATATATATATGTATATATATACATACATACATATTACCTTCTGTTTCAGTTGCTTGTTCTCGTCCATTAACTGAACACCCTGCGCGTTGTGAAGAGGAGGTTTGGACAAAAGCAAGGAGGAGGGAATTAGGTCAAAACTTATGTAAGAAAGGTTTGAGATTGGATTCAAGAGCAAGTGGGTGCATAGCTCGCTCCTTATACATGCAAGTACTTGCAAGTCCCTCTTCCACAGTAAAGAATCAATAGACTAACGACATAAAAAGATATCCCTACAGATTAAAGGATTATTCATCCTAGTCTCAAAGAATGAGAGAAGGGTACGTAGTCACATAGTCCTTCAAATCATTAGATTATACTCTTCTAGCCTACCGAGGTTTGTTTGAAACTAAACAAGTCTCTTGTAGAGTATAAATTGAGAAGTCATTGAACAAAAGTCCTTAATTATGCTGTTTACCCATTTTTGGTTCAATGAAACTTTTTTTACTAACCAGAAAAAAATTAAAGAACGAGCTTTTAATTTTAGTTTATTATTCAGGCAAAAGAAGCTCAAAATTTTCTGTGCAAATGTATTATTCTAGAAATTCTAATCAACAGCAATCACTTGACGATTGTAAGTTGGTATTCAAACCTTCCTCTGTAGGTTGACAATCTCATTCATGATTCGATCAGCCTGAAATGAACAACAATTTGTTGCATCAGCGTCTGGAGCAGAGAGCTTATATCAGCCTTTTAATCAGAGAGAAATAGGTGAAAAAAAAAAAAACACCTTTGTATCAACCACACGGGTTAATCCCGCTTCAAGCATTATCTCTAATTGCTGCAAGTCCTCTAGGTTCAATCCATGAAGCTCCTCACCCCTCAACTGCCTGTTTGAAAGACATGTCACTCTTGCAATAGAATTTGAAACAATTTAAGTAATCGTTTTGCAACGTTCATAATTTATTAATTTGACACTCAACACGCACAAATAATATAAAGGCACTCATTCAAGGGATCACAAGCATTCTCACAAAGAGAACAAAACTCAAAAGAGCTAGTCTAGAAAGTTCTTTAACCCACTCAAGTGCTAAAATGGCTCCAAACAACAAGTTGCTTTCTACTTTTCGGATGATACCTTAGTTGGTGATTCTTATCCGCAAACTCCTCCTCCATTCTGATGCGGTCACTATTCTCTAGCTAAAATAAGCAACAAAACAATTCAATATCTCGGCTAATATTTCAAGAACTCAAAAATCAAAAATAATACCTTCATATAACAGGATTTGCATTTCGTGAAAATTATAAGGCATGAGTAGTTGTTTTAGACACCAAGGAGAAATAAACAATATGAAGATTTCATAAGTAGACAAGCCCCTCCATTGGCATTGGGATAAAAATCAAGGTGAAAGAGGAAAAACTGATAAAACATATTACCTGCAGTTCAAGACAAGGTTGTTTGACTTTCTCGAGGTTATTTGAGTGCAGCTTATACTTCCCAAGTATATCCTTCATGCTTCAAATACCAAAGAAGAAAAGTGGATATAGTAAGTTATACGAACATTCCCTGAGTCATTAAGTTATAGAACCTATTTTTATACACTAAAGTTATTTACGAAAGACTTAGAAAGTGTGGAGAATTTCCTTCAAGAGAAAAGAGGGGTAGTCTCACATTTTCAAATCCCAAGTACACCAGGTTATGTAGATCATAATGATCATACAAAGAATGCATGCTCCTTCAACTTGTGAACACCACTACAAGCTAAATTAATGATCAACATCAGAACATATCAAAAGGTCGTGTTTTTCTTGGATTTCTATAAGTTTTTTTCAGTACCCAAAAACATTGTTTTGAAAATATATGGAGGTACAATATAGTTCAAGTCATGTTCGAAGGCATCGGTTTATATATGCAACAAAAGAGTTGGCCATAAGACCTATGTAAGTCAGCCAAATACAAATAATAGTGCCAACTGGCCTTCATTTTCACCTTGCCAAGCCCTCGAATGGTTATTTATCTGAACTTATATCAAGTGATACTAAAATGGATGGCATCAAAAACCAATATAGAACAAAGTTTCTCGGAATATGAGTGTAGTGACCTAATGTAAATAAGCAGCTGAAAGTCACCCTCACCTTTTCTTCGAGTGTCAGTTCTCAAGTAAGATATGGTCTAAACTCAGATATTTATGTCTAATCCAAGGTAGATTGGTACCATGGAATATGGTTGTTGATGAGGTAAGCTATAGGAGTAAATCTTTTAAGTAATGCCCTAAAGAAACTGAGTTTATCTGTATACTAAATCTGGAGAGAGGGAAATTCTAGGCTTCACACTAACAAGGTCAGGGACTACCCCACCATTACTAAGTCCATTGTACAAACCATAAGGGATAGGCTTGCATCTGCAAAATTTAAAGCTTCTCAACAGAATGAATGACTGATCCAGATATGGCAGCTCCCTAGTAACTGCTTTGACCCAACAGTTGGATGCTAATCTGGTAGAAGTGAGGAATTGTTAGCTCAAGGCTTTTACTTCCCCAAGATTCTGCTCAAGGAGTACAAAGCTGTTTTTTTATTGACATGAGATGTGTTCCGCTTTATGTGACAACACCATCTCTTTGTTTTTGAACATGACGAATAGAATGATTTTTGACTTTCCGAAAAAAAAAAAAAAAATTTCTTATACTCCAAATCTTCTAGTTCAAAGATTTAAGAAGCTCTCAATTATTTGAGCAAACTATGCCTGCCACGACAATTAAACACAGTTTGGAGGATGTCGTTAGAAAAGAGGAAAGATCAACGGAGAAAACTCACATCTTAATATTGTTTTTGATGTCATTGTTTGAGGAAGCCAGTTACCAAATCTTCATATTGCATATGAAAGAATTGTTCCAGTTACCAAGTGCCCGTATTTGTACAATGCTCTAGTTTGGCTTCTCCAACTATAAAGGAACTTCCACCAAACTCTACCCCGCCCCACACATCCAGTGTACTTTTAATGAGAAGAAAAGCCCTTTTGGATTTCATAGCTGGTCTACATCACAGTCAACCATACACAATACGTATGCACTGCTACGTTCTAACTAAGAGGCCAAGTAAGACCTTACTCCGTGCCCATTGTTTAGATAAACTCACTTATATATTGTAGGCCATGCTTAATTTCATGATGAACAATGCTATTGAGACTTAGTTTAAAGAACGAGTTTGAGAACCACCATCGGATTGTCAATAGGTCCCATTTGGTGTCTGTCCACTGCCAATGCATTGTCAATTCTTGTAATTAATATGACCCTTCCTAGTCCTCAATCTTCACAAGGGCAACGGGCACCATTATTCACTAGACTTCCGTCAAGCAGACTACTGTGTTCTTTGGGCGTAGTAAACTTGCAGTAGCTAAATCGGTCTGACGTTCACATAAATTCACCCATCAAAATTTGTACTAACTTGTATATAGTTGGGAGAGAGAATATCATGAACATGGACAACACTACAGGTGTTTCATGAAATATGTGGGAGGCTTTAATTGATGTGGCAACTGGCAAGGCTCTAAAAGGACAGATTTTTAAGTCATCCCAGAAGTTGTACATTCGGTCCAATCAAATACACCTCCTTCAAGGAAAGAGATTGGCTGCTTTAATAAACAGACAAGATTATAAGGATGGTTTTCTGAATTCAAAGGCAAGATCAAAACAAAAGAATATAAAGGAATTCCACTAGGGTTTGTGATGATTTTCTAATCCTTCAGATGAATGAATCAACATTGAAAACAGTAGGGTATGTTGCGTGAGACACGATGTTTCTTGTTCAAAGAAACCATGAAATCTTGTCTTAAGATCTCACTCTATTTCTTCATTCAACTTATTTTCTCCTTATTTTTCAGATATCAGAATAATTGTCTGCTACAGTGCTACTTCCACCTCTCTCTCTCTCTCTCTCTCCCTCTCCCTCTCCCTCTCCCCCCCCCATACACACGGGTATGCAGACACAGATCCAGACAAACATACTACGCAGTTGAAAATCATGAAAATAAGCACCTAAAGAGCATATAAGAGGCGATCTACGATAGTTTTAGGAGCAAATGTGTACGAGAATGATGTACCTTGAGCTCGCATATTCGAATCGCTTTCCAGTAGCCGAGAAGATGATGAGAGCAACTTCTGCGTCACAGAGAACCGCAAGCTCCTCCGCTTTCTTGAGAAGCCCTCTTCTTCTCTTCGAGAAAGTCACCTGTCTCGCTGTGATGTTGTCGATCTTCTTGATCTTGATCTTCTCTCTGGCCATTCTTGTTACTGTAGCACAACATCAAACCCAAACTTAACACACTCCATGTGTATTAATACACAGAAAATACCCACATAAAATGGCATGAAAAAGAAAGTTAAACAGAGGCAGAAAGTGAAAAGAGGGAGGGAAGATATAGTTAGGTGGGTTTTGTGCTAAATTTAGCAGAAACCCTAAAAGAATAGACCCACTTCAGATCTAGATGGAAAAAAACCCAGAAAAAACCACCAATCATTTGTCCTGAACATGCAAACCTCACACAAATAGGGGAAGCTCTAATCTGCAGATTGGTGGGTTGCTACTGTTTACCTTGCTGGGAATGGTTCAGGAGATGTTTTTGGGGAAGTTACTGTTGTTCACAGCTACCCACAAAAAGCCACCAACTAGAGAGAGAATGATCTACAGACTAGAGTGAGAAAAAACAGTTGGGTAGAGAGAGAGAGAGAGAGACAAAGTGACTAGCCTAGTTCCAGAAAGGAAAGCGCACTTTCCCCTTTTTATAGCAAAACAAATGCCCTCTTTATCAAGAAGCTCGCCTTCAGATCAAAAAAAAAAATCATGAAGCTCGCCTCATCTGCCTATACCCTATAGTTCTCAAGTATCTGGGCGAGTTTATTAATGTGGACATGTGTTTTTGTGTGTGTGTGTGTGTGTGTGTGAGAGAGAGAGAGAGAGAGAGAGAGAGAGAGAATAGGATACCATAATTGGGAGGCCTAATGGGAGCTCACAGCTGAGCCTCTGGCCTTTGAGAATTTTTGGAAGGACTCCTCTAACTCATGGTAAAGTCCTAAAAAATATATATATATTCATTCTAGGGACGAGGCCATAATATAAAATTTTAATTTTTTGATATTTTAAAAATAAATTTTAACTGCAAATTGTAGTTAGAGTTATTTGTATTTTATGGTCATAAAAGTAATAGAACTGAGATAAAAACAATGAAAAGGATAATAAAACTTTCCGTGTGTGAATTTTTCATTAAACAAAAAAAAAAAGAGTGGAAGGAGAGATATATAAAAGAACATTAATGCTATTGGGACATAATTAAAGGACATAATTTAGGGACATAATGAATTGTCTCCAATAAAATGATAGTAAAATAGTCTCATTGTAGCATTAATGAATTCATTATTAAATCATTGATAACACCTCATTATGTCCTCAAATTATGTTCCAATAGCATTGCTCATAAAAGAATATAAAAAAACTAAGAGAAATAAATCTACAATTAATAGTTGTCGACAATTGATTGTTGTTGAAGTGTAATTTATGAATAATAAGAAAAAAAAACATGACTATTATAAATATTTTATATGGATCTAATATAAAAACAGTAATACCACATTAATCAACAAATAATATAATTAAAAATAGAATCTAAATAATCCGACACTTGACATTATTCACACAAAAATATCCATCACCCTTTATTATTGGATTAATACTATTTAGACCTCAATTTAATCTAATTTGTTGATTTAATAATATAATTTATTATAATTATTAAATTAACATTAAATTTAAATATTTAATAGCATTTACAATAAATTTTAAAAATATAATAAATTAAGTTGAAATATTATTACTCTTATCATTAACAACGAATACCAGGCACCCGTGGCAAGTAAATTATGTATGAAGATGATATTTATGGGGTGTTATTTGGTTTTATGTGGACGATAAGTTTCCGTACATGTAGGGCATGCTGCATCACTAAGATAGATAGATAGCTATGATTACATACTTGTGCCCTTCATCACCTTTTATTCGAGAAGTTGATGGATCTAGTCATCTATGGTTTTGTGAGCTTGGGAATGATTTTCAAAGTACATTTCTCATGGTTTGTAACAAAAGGATTATAGTTTCAATAATTATAATCCTACTATACTTTACACCCTTTTTTTATATAACTTTTTTTGATTCTATCTTTGAATAATCCTATTAAAATCTAATAATAAAATCTTATTCCATTATTTTTTAGGTTAGGAATCTTATTCCATAATTTAGTGATGTGTAAGAGGTATTATCCGACATCGTGTCTTATTAGACTGGTGAATATTTTTATTACAATCATGTTAATTATTATATTATTAATTTCAAAGGGTTGCTTAAGTGGAGATCAATTTAAACTGTAAACTTAAACGTCTTGAGTTTAAAATTTGACAATTCTCTGAAACCAGTCTCTTGGTTGTCAACACAATTTGGTTAGTAGGACGATTTCTATTAACTGGATGAACTGTATCCAAACCTTGGGTGTGAGTTTGACTCCATACCAACTATACGAGTCCTAATTTAACTATTGCATGTGTTGAGAAATCGATACATGTGATACTTCTCCAAATGAAAATTTCCTCTTGAAAGGGGTTAGTGTTAGCTTTGAGGGAAATAATTTACTTGGGTTAGGGTTAGCTTCTCTAAAATTAAGAAGAAAAGTAAATAAAAAATTAATTACGTGGGTTTAAATAGATATTGTTTTTTTTTATATTATTAGTATATGTACATATTATATTTATCTATATATTTCATATTTATGTACACATTGATTTCACACATAAATATAATGGTAAAATATCATCTAACTTTTTTTCATTTGTACCAAAGTTAAAAAAAAAAATCAAATTTTCCTATTTTTCATTTCTCTTACCAAACATAAAGAAATAAAATAATGATTTCTCTTATAAAAAATAGAAAGTGTATTGCTCATATTTTTTATCATTTCATATTTCCATCCACTTACCAATGGCGGAGCCACGTTAGGGTAAAGGTGGACACTTACCCCTCTTAATTTTTTGATCACATATATTTATCTACTCTTAAAGTATTATATTCTTGGTAAAGTTATTGCATTTTTCTCCTAATTTTTAAAAATTTATATAGTAAATCTAGTCCTTTTTATTTTCAACAAATGAGTGGTTTATTGCCCCCCAAAACAAATTGTTTATTTTTTGATTTAGTAAAGCAAATATAAAATGTCTTGACCTAATTTTTTGATTTAGAAAAGCAAATATAAAATGTCTTGACCTACATATATATTGACCAAAAATAATACACCTCTTCTATCTAATACATTATCTTTCATTTTTTAAAAATAACAGTATAGGTTTTTTTCACCATTCCTCGGTAAGTTAATAGTTTATAACTCAACAAAACATGATTAAATTAAAATGTCGTAATCCAATAGCATTTTCTGCTATTTTAAACATTAATTTCTCAACAAGACGATAAATGATCTCTCACTTTGATTTTGAAGCAAGATAAAGGATGATTTCGTCACGAACTCGTTGAAAGAAAATTAGTATAAAATTTAGCTTAGAATTAATCAATGGTAGATAATTTTTAAGAACACTGTTTCATATAATAATTTAATCTTGAATCTTAGTTTTTTTTTTGTAGGCTTGAACTTATTGTTATTATTATTATTGACATTAACACGTGAATTTATTTAGTTATATTTTGTCCCTCCAAAATAAAATCCCAGCTCCTTCAGCACCCAACCAAAAACAACGTAATATTTGAAATAGGACCCTATAAGCAAACATGAGCATGAAATGAGTAATTTTTTATACACCAAATCAACTGTAGTAGTTAAATCAATGATAGAACTCATTAATTTAATTACTACAATTGAATTGATGTAAGTTTTGATGCATATAAAACTACTTGCATAAAATTGCTAATGTCTTGGCATTAGAACTACATGCATTATTTAAAGTTTTTTGGTTAAGGGAAGTATATATTGGAACGATTATTGAGGCACTTTACACCCATATGTATTTATGGCAGTGCTCTTTCCTTTGAAAGTAAGCTTAGCAGCCTCGTGTGAAGCTATATTTGTCTGATCAATGTTTCAAAAGGTCCCTATATGCTCATCATCTCATTCATCCAACTAGTTCTGAACTACAACCGATGCATTTTTTTGGCACGAGTTAAAAAATAAAAATAAAAAAAGTTGTGTGCGTCTCGATTTTGTCCAAGTATTTTTTTTTTGTTACGACAAATTTAAATCCACTACCGAACCGGGATGCATCCCGGGTTTGACTCCGAAAGAGTAAATGATTTTTGTGCATAACCAATTGCGCAAAATGATTGTAATTTGAATGGCTAAAGTGAAATCAGGGTTATAATTTAAGGTACTTGACTATGGTAGTAACAAAAAATAAATTGGTATTTTACTTCCAAAATTTACTATATTAATGAATATTTTTACAATTTTCTCTTGTCACCGAGCCTCCTTTCTCCTCGGTCCACAGATACAAAATGTAGAACTGGTGCCAACAGTTCATCACGAAATAAATGACTCACTTAACCAGAATCACTAGTTCATCACGAAAGAAAGAATTCACTTAGCCAAAATCACTAATTAATACTAATATAATATAATAAAAAATACTAATATAATATAATCTAATAGAAAAGAACTGTCTTTTTTATATACTTTCCCCGGTTCCATTGCTACCACGGGCTTTTATAAATTTTTTTTTTTTGCTACAGCTGATAAAAATCATTTTTAGACGATGCATATGTAGAAAGCCTATTTTGTTTCTAGTATTTAATAACATATATTTTTATAATTTTTGTGAGTCATTTTACAATAAAAAAAATTATCACTTTTGTGGGTGTGTTTGTTATTGTTGTAAGTGTATTTATCACTTTCGTGGTAACTATTTTTACCAATTTTTTGCGGTATAAAATTTTGTAGGTGATTTTTTTTTGTTGATATTTTTACCACTTTTATAAATATTTTTACTACTATTTTTATCATTTTTTTTGGTACCACAACAGTGATAAAAACACCTATAATAATGATAAAAATATTCACAAGTATAAAAAATAAAGGTATCATACCGAAATTTTTTTTTTCAATGCCATGGACAACTCCTAGTTTAAGAGGACAAATTGTAAGCAACCCAGATCCTATATAAATAAGATTCAAAATTATATCGAAAAGGTATGAGAGATTTTTGCACTATTTCTCTCTCTCAAATTGTCTGACTTTTTGCATAATGAATTTAGATGTATGTGACTGATTATATGATGAGATTGAGCTGAAATTTTTTATTGTTTAATATTTAATTCAACTTTTTGTTACATTTAATTAGTTTGACAAGTTTAAATATTTGTTTTTCAATTTTATCACAAATAAACAATAACACCTCACCTCATGTAAAAATTAATTTTAAAAGGGTTTACACAACTAAAATTTGAGATTAAAAATAACTCATTTATAGTTAAATCATCTTCTTAGAACAAAATTCACGTTGTGTCACTATTACCACTTACGTTTTTCGATCTCATTATGGAAGAGAGTCTTGGTATTGAGTAAACTTTTTTTTTTTTGAGTTATTTTAGTCATGGTTACTATTACAAGAATAAACTACCTATATGACTCTCAAATTATGACATTTATATTAACTAGCAATGCATATGTCTGTTGCATGTGAAAAAATTTAGTTCATTAATTTGTTATTAAATTTATTTGAAATACAAAGTTGATGAGTAATAAAATTAAATTATTTGTTGTAAAGGTGAGTGAATAATTAAAATACCAAGAAAAAAGACACTTAATCTTTTAATCTCAAAATTTGATAAATTTCAGCCAATAAATGATAAAAATACTCAAAAATATGGTACATGTAAAAATACTCAAAAACATGGTTTATAGTACATTAACGTTTTTTTTTTGTAGTACCTAACTTTAATTATTTTTTAAAATCTTTTTTCTTATAGTTAGAATAACAAATTTTTGGAACATACAATTT